TTGTTATCACTTTCGGTACTGTTTGTATTATCATTACTATTATTTCCGTCAGTAAGTTAGCCAATAGAACGATTCATAAAGGGATGCGGTCAAGTGAATACCGTAATCCAATGAATAGTTTAACTTAGATGCTGCATCGGTTTGTTTGAGGGATGATGAATGGCTAAACGAATGTAAAAGTGCACATCGTGTAAAAATAACTGATCATAGATTGTGCCATACACCTTAACTTATCTGACTCTCCGAACACTCTCGCACATTTCTGAATTTTCCACAATGTTGGTAACTGGAATAATAATAATGCAGTAGATTTTTATGTAAATTTACGGTGTGTTTATGTATGGCTTGTGGCGTGATGACGACTCGAAAAGAGGATTAGTACAAGATGAACAAGAAACGTAATCCGTATAATTGATCGTGTTTGATTCAAATATCAATTCAAACAACGATAAAATTAAGACGAACATGCATACACTCAGTTGATGTTCATCTTTGCGCACAGCTGCTAATCGTTTTCATAGGAGTTTTGTNGTGATATTGCTTTTGCAGATGGTGCATTCAAGAAGATTAAAGCAGAAAGTGCCACATCTTCGGTGTTCGCAAGCTCGCTGTCGAGCGGTCCTCAAGTACCGGCCAGGTGAAGAATTTTGCACTTCCAGAAATATCTTTTCGGAATGTGACCTCATTCAACGAAGCACATTTAAATATGGGCAAGAGTTGAGTAAGCAATCGGCTGTCAACAATAAGATAAGTAACACATGCGCAATGCCACTTATTCGACCACTCTAGGCTCTCGTGTCGTATATCTTGAAAGTGCATTAATTTATTCAATTACAATCCGAGATGAAATCTTAAGATGGTGAATGATTCGTAGATTCATAGGAATTAAGAGGATATCGATTAAGGAAAGTGAGACTTGATGAGATTAGGTATAGTAGCAGTTGTTTAACGATTAAACGTGAAGTGTCAGGAGACGACACAGGACAACGTTCACTCAGGAGCAGTTAGCTGAGCTGGATGCAGCCTTCCAGAAGTCACATTATCCAGATATATACGTCCGTGAAGAACTGGCACGAATTACAAAGCTTAACGAGGCTCGTATTCAGGTAAAGAAGTGTTCTGTTTACTCAACGCAAAAACATCTTTAATCAGATCACCTTCTGTCGACAAAATGAAAGTGCACGCCATTTTAGCGCACTTTCGATTAGGTCAACAAGGTTATTGTTTTTAAGCAAAACGAATTGTGTTCAGTTGCAGTGATATTAATGAGAGCACAGCACATTGATGTGTCTGTCTACAAAATAGGAGCGAATGCTCGATTAAGTTCACATGAGGTCATCAACAATGCAAAAAAGCGTCATACATCTGTGTTTACGTTTACAGCATTTGCATATGCACCAGTGGATCTGTGCTAAGTTCTCAGTGGATCTTGTAGAGCATAATCATTCAATTGAACAATGATCATCTCAATTATCATCTGGCTCACTTCAACCACCAATTAGTTGCCTATATTCCACGGATAAGCCAGTTTGAGCAATTAGAATTTGGATTATATTTGCTGGATGGGGATAAGGGTTATGACCGGACTCGAACTCAGCGGGGATCCGATCCGATCCGATAACTGCTCAGACGACGAGCCGAGCGATCGCTTGCGTATTGCGCCATCTGTGCTTAAAACCATCACTTAGTTCATAATCAGTAACAACATGACATGCTCATCATAACAATAACAATACAACTGCAATAACAATAGCACTGAACATGGTAATCACCATTCATTTAGTCAATCTGTATTCATCTTATAAGAAGCTAGCTGCAATTCTTGCATTGTACCAGGGAGCGTATTCTTTTCCATAAATGTTTCCACATGCATTCCCATACATTTCCGTTATTCCATATTCCATATTCCCAGTTGGTACATGCAGTATTCGCTTACTCTCGATTGCTCATCATTGTTCACAGTTACAAGCTAAAACAAGATAACGGTTGCAATTGATGAAGGAATCATTCGGAAATTTGATGCAAATCGCTGAAGCACAAGACTAGAAAAGGTGTGAAAGTTTAACAAATTCAAATTGACATATCACCTCATACTTCATTCGATCACAATCAACTTCAGTACTGTCCACTCAGTTCCAAGCACCCACTCCTTTAATCTCGCAATCTCGAATTATGTCGCCAAGTTTCGTTCTCAACTGCAGTTGAGTGCACTATCCAATTCCAATCAACAATTTCAATTCCCAAGAATATAACAGAACGATTCCAATAAAAAATGAAACGGCAGAACAGAACGAAATGCAACAGAAATGATCAATAATTTCTTTGATGGGCATATGCGCGATATTAGTTGTTGGCTGAGACAATCGTGTAAGTTGAGCATGTAATTACGGTATATTGCATTCGCAGACAGATGGTGCTTATTATTGGATAGATAATGATTGAGCAGTGCTCAGAGAGAAGAGATAAATGGAGAAGGGAAATGATAGCATTCAACGTTTATGCAGACACACCTGTGCTAATCTTTGAAAGTATTCTCAGTGCTCGATAATTTTTGTTGAGATTTGTACCAAGTGAGGTTTCATCGATAAATTTGTATCGCATCATCGAGGTTCGAATTCACTGTGAGAACAATTAATTCATTTTGTGAAGGTTTTGCTGGTCTCCTTCTGTTGAAGTTATTGATTCATTCTAATGGAAATGTCTGTTTATGCTGTCTCTTTCTGTTGAAACGAAAAATTGAAAACGAATGAATGAAAGCCATTCTCGCTGATTGCATTTTTCAGTGATCCGAGCCTCCTATTTGAGATATCACAAAGCTGAGTTAAGACAGGATACCTGTAAGTAATTGGCTTGCAAGCAGCGTAATAGCCAGTCGAAGGCAGCCATTACGTAATAATATCACTCGTTTATGAACTGCTAAAGGATCAATACGTATGTGCGTCATTGAAATGTAATTGTATTCTCGATCGATCTTATTAAACGATCAAAATGAGATTACCTCTTTCGAAAAGTTGATTTTGATTCATTGTTAATCGAATTTAACGGCCGAATTCTCGTTAACAACAATTATTTTGAATTGAGTGAATACTTGTTGGAAGTGGTGCTATTTATTTGTTGTGAATATACGAAATAAATGAATAAGTAGGGAACAGCCTTAGATTAAGTAAGGGATGCACGAATTGAATTGCTTAAACATTCCTTAGAGACAATGATTGGCAAGAAAAAGAGCGAGCATCGAGTTATTACGGTATGTATATATGTCTAGACAATCCATCTCTCAGCGTTCCAACTTCTTTTCACTGACCTCATTCGTTTGTTTTCACGCAAAGAAATTGTAATTTATACATTATAAATGCAATCACTAAGCGGTATCATCCTGTCACGTCAAATCTCTTAAATAATTTAACCAGATTTCACAATGACGAAAAGTTCGTTTAATCAAAATGACTTCAGTTTATTCATTCACAGATTTTGCTAAGAAATCGAGGCAATTTTCGATTGCTCATGTATTCATTTGCATTTTGAATGTTTCTATAAGTAGTAC